GTGTGCTCTTCCGATCTTACATAATAAATTTAGTATATTCGAAAAATAAACGAGACATGTAGCGTATTCTTTAAAGATTCGTATGTATATTTCTATACTTTTTAATGAATAATACTTATTAAAAATTATAAGACTGCTTCCAAGTTTTAAACTTTGTGCTAGAAATCGGTCCAAGAACTGTGTAGCCAATCAACTTAGTTTTTACGGTAAAGTAATAATTTTTTTGACTATAGAATTATCGGTCCGAGAATTCGGGCCGATTTCTAGCATAGTGGATAACAAGGTATCAGACATGAGTTTCTGTAAGACATTAAAATTTGATATTGGATTAAATTTATTCAAACTTTAGAATTCTACCTTTGTCGCAGACCGAGCCGTTGTCGCAACATCTTTTCTTTTTGGAACCCAAGAGATGGCGACCGTTGAGAACAAATCTGTCGCCTGTTTTTACATCTGGTAAACTGAAGGAAATGTTCTCCTTGATATCAGAATGTGCTGATCATCTGATCAAATATATGGAAAAACCAGCGACCACAGGTGAACCTGTAGAATGTCGCGAGCTTACAGCCAAATATACAACCGATGTTATCGGTACCTGTGCCTTCGGCATCGAAATGAACGCATTGTCAAACGAGGACAGCGAATTTCGCAAGATGGGAAGAAAAATATTCACTCTGAATGGGTCAAATCTGTTACGAATAAGAATGAGACAATTTTCTCCATGGCTTTTCGATAAGCTCGGTTACATCTTGCCGCATACTGAGGCCACCAAATTTTTCACGCGTGTTATCAAAGAAAATATAGATTTCAGAGAAACAAATAATGTCACTAGAAATGATTTTGTTGATGTGTTGCGAGAATTGAAAAAACATCCAGATAAGTTGGGTGATTTTGGTATGTATTAATCATGTAATATCTATGTTTTTATATGTTATTTTTTTATGTAGGACAATTTTTTACATAAAAAATTACACAAGTTTGCTTATAAATAATTTTATAAATACAATAAAATAAAATTAACTTTAACTTTTATTTTATTATATTTTTTATTATGACTATACTATGATCATAGTCAATAGCTGTTTAAACGTAATCATACTTTTAAAAATAATAAATT